CTCTCTCTCTCTCTCTCTCTCTCTCTCTCTCTCTCTCTCTTTCCTTCTCTCTTTCTTTCTCTCTTTCATGCGTGTGTGTATTTTAGGGAAGGGTCTACAGGGTGTTCAGGGTCTCACTACTAGATGGGACTCAGTGATCCGCCTATTTACAGCCTCCCAAGAGCTGGGATTACAGGCACACACCACCATGCCCAGTCTCAGTCACTGTCTCAACATGTCCTGGGGGCTGGGCCAGCAGGGCAGGCTGGGGGATTGAACCCCTGGCCCCTGTGCCTGCTTGCAGGTGCTTTAATCCACTGAGCTATTTGGCCAGCCCTTTATCTTTTTATTTCTGATTTGATTTTTGTTTTGTGTTTTGTTTAGATAGGGTCTCACTATGTAGTTTTGGCTGCCTTTGTACTCACTTTGTGGCCTAGCCTGGTCTTGAACTCTGGGTGATCTTCCTACCCCCACCTCAGCCTTCTGAAAGATACCTATAATCTCTTCTCAAAAAAAGAAAAAAAGACGCTGGAATTAAATCCTAACTGCCACTTGCCACCTGATTACACCTTGCAGAGAATTTGCCCTCTGAAAGCCTTAATAGAGGAAGTAAGAAATGTGTAGGGGCAGGGGACAGATTGTTGGTAAGACACTTGCCTCACGTGTGCAAGTCCCTGGATTTGATCCCCATCGCCACCAAAAAATAAGTGTGAAAAATTTTGGAACCTAATGTGAACCTAATGCTTGCTAAGGAGATAGGAGTTGGTGGCATGGTGCAGGACTCAGGAATGGACAGCTTGGGCACAGTGGCTCATCTTCTTCTCCAAGACTGGTGTCCGGGGACTGATTTTCAGGGTCCACCATGGAGCCAGAGAAGATTCTGGAGGGACAGACGCACGTTGCAGAGAATCCTCACTCTGAGTACAGCTTGACGGACAAGGTTGAGCAGATAGTAGGTGGATCTGCAGTCTTTGCCAACTTGTGCCTACCTGGATCAGACAGTTGTGCCTATCTTGTTACAGGGACTTGCCGTCCTCGCAAAGGAAAGACTACCAAATCCCATTGAATTTCTAGTATCTTATCTCTTAAAAAACAAGGCACAGGGGCTGGTGAGATGGCTCAGTGGTCTAAAGCACCTACTTAGAACAAGCTTAGCAAAGCACAGGGACCGCGGTTCAATCCCCCAGCACC